AGACAGACAGACAGACAGACAGACAGACAGACAGACAGACAGACAGACAGACAGAGTGATTTCATGCCATTTTTTTTCCAAAAATAGCGATGACACCTAATTTCTACGAATAGGCTACACGTATGTTCGAGTTTCGATTTTTTTTTGGCATAGCCATGTATGCATACCGCATACTCCTAGACCTTTATAAACGTGTGTAGTCCGTCTTCCCAATCGGGACAAGTTGTTGACAGACATACGATTTTGTCGAGATCAATCAGTTCCTCCCAGGTGTTCAAAGACAAGATAATTTCAGTCAAAAGATTCCACTGCTCATCTTCTAAACATCTTCTCAAGGAAAAAGAAAAAGGTAACGACCTTAGTTAAGACCCTAACTATTCTTTTTCTGGGACCTCTGTCGTATTTGATACCATGTTTTTGTGCTTTTTTTTATTCAGAGATGGAGCGCCGTTAAGATAAGATAAGGTAAGATAAATTAAGATAAGACAAGATAAGATAAGATAAGATAATACTTTACTGTCCCAGAAGGATTTTTTTCTTGGCAGTACAGGACCGTAAAAACAAATGCAGGTATACATAAACATATAAATTATTAGCCCATTATTACGCTCATTGTTATCTAAAATTCAATAATGAAAAGAAAAGTAAAGCCGACAATAAATTACATTCACATTAGATGCTTCATTCAACAACATACAGGGATTTAATTACAAGACCTTTGTGGTTATATAGATACATAGCCTACTCCAAAAGCAATTCACATTTAGGTTAATTCTGACCGTAGCCTTATTCTTATACTAGATGGTAAAAAGAAAAAGTGTGTCTTTCTTTTTTTCATTTTTGGATGTACATAATATCTGCTGGTTGGGAGCAGCAAGAACAACAGACACCATCGCTGCAACGCAGGACAGGATGAAGTGGAGGTCCATGATCGCCCACGCCAGTCGGCAAGGCACTGGATGATGATGAATATCTGCCACTGCGTGACCTTAAATTTTGTGTGGAAAAGGCTGATGGGTTATGTGAACCGGTACATAGTTTGACTTTCTTGTTTATGCCGTGTCAATTTCCTCCACTCTTTTTTCCTCAGTTTGAAAAAAAAAGGAGCAACAAAAAAAACCAACCCCGCATTACCACAAACAATGGCAGATTCTGCGGCTACTGCTCCCACTATCCAGACGTTTGTCATGCTTGATATTGAGGCCACCGGGTTGCCCGAGGAAAACCCGAAAATCACCGAGTTGTCGTTCGTCGCCGTGACCAGAGAGGCGATATTGAAGCCGAGAGCGGACGGCCAGACATTGCCGAGAGTTCTGAATAAACTCAACATAGCCTTCCAACCCCACAAGAATATTGTCCCTAGAGCCTCTAGAGTGTCAGGTTTGATAAGTAATAGTAGTAGTAGTAGTAGTAGTAGTAGTAGTAGTAGTAGTAGTAGTAGTAGTAGTTTTATTAGTAATGGTAGTAGTAAGGCCTATTGATCGCTTTTAAGCACAAGGGGGGCTATCTCGGAAAATGCTGTTTTGAGAAAAGCGGAGGTACAGTTTCTGGACCCTTGTTTAGTTTCTTTAAAAGATGAAGAGAGTTTTCTCTTTAACCAAACAACTATACACACCAATGAACCCAAACTTCGCTCATAGGTAGGGCAATACCCACTTTTGGTATAGGTCAAGATTTCTGGAAACCCCCGAAATCCGGGTTAGCCCGCTTGTCCTTTAAAGCGACCAATTTACAGTAGCAGTTTCGTGTGCTGTGCATCGTGAATAAAATGTGAGGCATCGTGGTTGAATCAGGCGCTCAACAAAACAACAACATGGAAGAAAGTGGCGTTTTCCCGCGGCTTGGCCATTTTTTTTCGAGAGTTTTTTTTTTTTTTTTTTTTTTGGGGGGGGGGGGGGCTTTTGGCCAAACAATTTCAGTCAAAAGATTCCACTGCTCATCTTCTAAACATCTTCTCAAGGAAAAAGAAAAAGGTAACGACCTTAGTTAAGACCCAAACTATTCTTTTTCTGGGACCTCTGTCGTATTTGATACCATGTTTTTGTGCTTTTTTTATTCAGAGATGGAGCGCCGTTAAGATAAGATAAGGTAAGATAAATTAAGATAAGACAAGATAAGGCCAAACACCTTTTATGTCTATTTAAAAACTCAATTCTTAGTGCATTTTACTAACTGAAAAGCGTTGATTAAAAAAGGCACAAAAATGTAAATTTTCATTTCTCAAGCTTTGATTGTTACCCAACTTTGGAGGCCACTTTCTCGATAATATTGTCTTTGAAACCAGGTGATTTCAATCGGAAATATCTCGAATTCTCTTCAAAACAGATAGGTTTTTTTTTTCATCGAATGCTAGACAAGTGAACAAGCCTTAGGATGGTACAATAACTCAACTTGCCCAAAAATTGACGATCGCCTGATTTCACCAAGCCATGACACAAGAAGTAAAATGAGAAATGTTAACTTTGTTGATTCTCAGGTATAGAGAACTGGATGCTATCTCAGATGCACCCATTTGGAGAACACATTGGACTGTTGCGCCTATTTCTTGAGAAACTACCCCAGCCTGTCTGCTTAATTGCGTTTAACGGCGACAGGTAAGAAATTGATTTCAGGAAGATATTCAAGCAATATCGTCAGTGTCGCAAGCAAACCACGTAAGTCCGTTTGTGTACTTTTCACGCCAGAGACATAAAAAAGGGCTCTCGTAGCTTAGAGATTAAGGTGTTCGCCTCTCATTCAAAGGTCGCTTGTTCGAATCCGGGTAACGATGGACATTTTTTTTCTCCTCAAAAATTGTCTCCTTTCACCTCCTTTCCTGCTGTTTACCAATGTTCTATCGTCTGCTTTCGTCTCCTCTTTCTGCCCCCTCACTTTCTTTGCCCCCTCTTCTGGGTTCCTTGCTCTTTCTGCAGCCTTTCTTCTGCTACTCCTTGGCTCCTTCTCACTGCTGTCTTTCAGCCACACACCTGATCTTCTGGTAGGAAAGGTCGACACCTAGCCTTCTCAGACAAGGGCGAAAAATCTTGGAGGTTCCGTGTGCAAGTTGCGCATGTTAAAGATCCTTTTGTGGTCTAAAATCGATAAGAGGCTTCGGCCGCCACCCGGGTAAAATTCAGAATTTCCTACCAACTGAAAATATTTAATGTGTCCCGCGCTCTTATATGACCTTATACATTTGTGAGCACCGTCACACACTTTTTAAAAAAGACCAAAAAGAAAAGTCGTTCTTGTGTTGCTCCTACCTTGAATCATAAACAGCAAGAAAATTGTAAGCCTTGAACGTAGCATTAAACTTCATTTTGCTGATGTTGAAAGGTGCATCTTTGGTTGAATTTTGGGAGGATGAAAAAATCGAAAAATTCTCAAAATTTGGACTTAAGTGGATTGCTTACGACAGCAACGATATATGAAACCATCATAATTATACCACAGTCTAACTGAAAAAGGGGTATTCAAACCCATTCAAATGCATAGAAGTCGAAAGGTTTCACGTAACAATATCCAATGACAAAATGTCAGTCGATAGCGAACTTTCCGAACGTTCCAATAATGTTTGATTTAACTTGCATGGCTTTCGACTTGTCGCATTGTCACGTCTTACTTACTTGTTTTACTTGTCCACTATGTTGGGGTCACTGAAGTCGGAACATGTCCATCTCTACTCCTGCTAATATATTATTAGACCTGTTATGTAAATATGTTTTGTGGTAGTGGTAGTGGTGGTAGTAGCAATATACCAGGGTTAGTCAAAAAGTAATGCAAGTTCGTTTATTACTTAATGAAAAAAGAACACACTTGCAACTATGATACCTCAAATTAAAGGGGAGCATCTGAGGATCAGATTTTTATTTCTCAACATAGTCTCCATTTCGTTCAAAAGCCACTGTCCACCTTTTACAAAGTCCACTTATGCCGGCTTCGTAAAACTAAGCAGGTTGGTTGTAGGGGTACAGCAGTCCTGATTTTTCCATCGTCTCAATAGTGTTGACCTCTCAATGGTTCTTTTCTATGACCGAAAAAGTGGAAGTCTAAAGAAGCTAAATCAGGAGAATAAGTCGGATGGGGCAGTGTTTTCTACATTAACGGGGTGATTATCTCCCTTTTTCTCTTTTACTCGAATGCTGGCGGGCATTGGCATGGTGCAAAAACACTCTTTCCATGTTCAAATTTGGTCGGACTCGTTGAATTCTCGCTTTCCGTCGTTTCAATGTTTCAATGCTGGGTTCAGAATTGACAGTTGCTCCTCATGGTAAACAAATAATAAATCTGTGAGAAGAACCCTATGAGCGTCCCGAAACACGACTGCCATGATTTTTCTGGCTGACTCTTCAGGACGATGCTTGTCTGATAAGCGTATGGACACGTCTTCTTCTTCTTCCTGTTCATTGCACATACGTCCTGACCCACCTATATACAGTGCCAAAATCTAGAGCTTGGTCCTTGAAAACATTTTGAAGTCAGTTTTGGATGTTATCGGTGGATTCTCCTTCTAAAACAAGAAATTCAATCACGGCAATCACGACCCTTTACCTCTGACAGACCTCCAAGAGGGTAGCCATTTGGATGTGACGTCATTCCGGCAAAAATTAAAGAAACTTAAATTTTAACAATTTGAGTTCAAAAGTATATAAGCAAGTACTTGTAACCTGAATTTCATTAAATTTGAGGCAAAATTGTGCAAAATAATAAACAACTTGCATTACTTTTTGACTCCCGCTCGTATTATGTAGTAGTACATGTTGTAGTGTCACATTTGAATAGTAGTAGTAGTAGTAGTAGTAGTAGTAGTAGTAGTAGTAGTAGCAGCAGCAGCAGCAGCAGAAGTAGTAGTAGTAGCAGTAGTAGTGTCACATTTGAGTAGTAGTAGAAGTAGTAGTAGTAGCAGCAGCAGAAGCAGCAGAAGTAGTAGTAGTAGCAGTAGAAGTAGTAGTAGTAGTAGTAGCAGCAGCAG